AAATCAAACTCCAGCAAACATTTGAGATTCTTCTCACTGGAAGTCTTGTCTTGTCTATGGACGGCCGAAACCAGTAAACTTGTGGCATTTAGAGGGGTTTTTTTCACCCAGAATAACATGGAGCATTAATCAAAAGGATAAATTGTGTTGAATTTTCTGCTGGTTTCAATCATTTCTGAATGTTGAAAAGTCCAATTTTACTGCTGGATTTAGATTCATGAGAAATTTTGATACTGACAGTTACTTTATTTGGTCCCCAAAAGTTAGCATGCACGTTGTAATTGGTGAGTACCCTCTGTTTTGCAGTCGTGTACCCTCTCCTTCTCAGTCGTCAGAATTCATGACCAGTCGCCTCAAAGCTTAAAATACATTGATTCGCTTTTGGTTCCCCTTTTGTTTAAGATTTTGGTTTCTCGAGTAACAGAGGAGTTAGGTTTTGCTCAATCCGTGGCATTTCAACTTATACCTAATTGACACAGTCTTTACCATTATAAATCCCAAACACAAGATTTTAGTTGAAATATGTCGGCTGATACTATGGAAGGTTTAATCATTAGAATAAGTGTTCGAATAGTAAAATTATAATTCTCAGGGACTGGTTTAAATGATAAGTATTAAGCAACTTAATATTGTTTCTTCATTCTCGTTTACTTTTACGAAAATAAAAAACTTTAAATCCAAAAGTTTAGAATAAAACACTCTGATTCCGAAAACCCTTCTACAACATAGTGTAATCAACACTTCAACTCTAAAAATAATACTAAAACTCTTCGATTTCACTTGTAAATTGTAATAACGAGTTAGAGAAATAGAAAATTGAAGAGTTTGAAGAACCCATCGATAAAGTAACAAAATTTTTTTAAGAGACCGACTTGAAATAGTTAAAAAAACAAAACATTACGTATCTATTTGAACAAAAAAAATCAATAAAATATATACTTAGAATACTTATTTTAAAATAAGGCTAAAAGGAATACGTAGTCACCTTCAAGGAAGTAAATATGTGAGGACAACAGTTTTATTCTGTTTCTCAATTTCGATGATTTTCGTGTTGAGAAAGGATTCCGAATTGCAAGGAAATTGGGAAATTTGGAAATTTAGGGAATTAGTACTAAATCTCAAAGTGGACACTCTTTGTGAAGTAAGGCAAGTTATAGCACTGAATGGAATTCATCGAAAACAGGAAACGCATTCTTAATTGTGAAATAATTGCTAAAAATGGTCACAAGAATTTCCCTAAAGTGCTGGTGGAGTAAACAACTTGTGTTGCGTGCATACGCGTAAGGAACATTTATTTGTTGCAGAAGCGGACACGTTATTACATTTGAGAAATTATTTACTTTTGACTTGTGTAAAACCAGAGTTACTTGTAACAGAAATTTCACCACACCTGCAGAGGACATTAATTCTCAGACCTTGATGAGACACGTGCAACTCACACTATTTATCTTGATTTTTTTAAATAATGTGTTGGAGACTTTTGTATTAATTTAGAGTAATAAATAGATACTATGTTAAAAAAATAACTTTTTTATTGATGAGATTAGTTAATAAAATTTTTGTTAGTTTATTAATAACGAGACTTGTTGTAGGTGTAACTATTTAAATTTAATCTTATAAAAATTAATATTTTATTTTAAGAAGATTTTATAACGCTCGACGGGTACTGTTGAGTACCGCTAACGATGAACACTATTAATTTAATTTATAAAAATTTAAAATTTTAAAGTATAATTATAAATTAAATAAAAATTTGAAGGTAAATTATTTAAAATAAAATATTAATTACATTATTTTTCATAATCTTTTTGGGTAAATTATACCAAGTCCACCTAACTATAATTCCTTTTCATTTTGATCATTATTTTTGAATTTTTTTCAATCAAGTCACTTAACAATTTAAATGTATTCAATCAAGTCACTTTCGTTAACATTTAACAGAAGTGTTGACTTGGCAATTAAAAAAATTGGTATAATTAAACATTTTGTCATTTTTACTTATATATTCTATCATTTGGGTCCAAATTGTAATAAATTAAAATAAATTTAATTTTCAAATCAGATTGTGCCACATGTCACTAATGTCAAATATCATAACACATGTTGCCACCCGATTGGAGGATTTAATTATTTTAATTTAAATATTATTATGTTAAAGATTTTACGAGTTTTGTTTTTGGATCTTTAATTTATTAGAAATATTGTTGTGATTAGAAAATTTATGATATGATAAGGTGATAGTTGAGTCTAATTGTTTGAAAATTATTCGTGATTATTTGTTTTTTTTTCTTTCAAATAATTCTTTTAATTTTGGGTTGATTATTAATGATCACCATATTTATCGACATGTTAATTAGGTCATTCATGTAGAGGCCTTGTTGATGACCAGACCTATCTCCTTTCTGTCTGGTTTAAACCCCCGCCCCTTGAGCTTGGTTCTACATTGTTTTGCGGTGGCAATATACGGTGTTGGTCGTTTATTACTGCCATTCCCTTCGCCTATGCAAATCTGGATCGGAGCTCGATTGATCTCCGTGCCGATCGCTATCTAAATTCTCTCATTTTGTTTAATTTCATCTTTTGGTATTGCAGAGTATTATTTTTATCTACTCAGATATCGTGCGGTATGTTACAGAGAGTGTCGGGAATCATCTTCCCCATTATCAAAGCAGGAGTTGGGCAGATGTGTTTACCGGCCATGGTTCCTGCAATAGAGCTCCTCCGCTTGTAAAGTAAGGCAAGAAAAATATATTCATATAATAATCTATATAGAGAACAAGATAATTAACATTTTGGACTATTAGAAATTTACAATCCAACCCAATTGATCCAATCCTATATCCTTTAGAAGTATAAATAACAAAAAAACTAAAAATATAATTATAATATCATGAATCTAAAAGGAAGAATCTCATATAAGTTGATATGTTCGCTATAATACTATTTGTGTTGTGTTAGACAATGAATGACCTAATTAACATGTCGATAAATATGGTGATCATTAATAATCAACCCAAATAAAAAGAATTATTTGAAAAAATAAATAAATAATCACGAATAATTTTCAAATAGTTAGACTCAATTATCATCTCATCATATCATAAATTTTCTAATCACAAATATATTTCTAATAGATCAAAGATCCTAAAACAAAACTCGTAAAATCTTTAACAAAAAAGACATGTTTCGCAAAATATTATGCCAAATATCAATGGTAATTTCGGCCTTTAAGGGAATTGGGTGTTTTTGGTATGATTTGGGAAATTTGGCTGTACAGAAATGAAGTTAGGTTCAAGGGGAGTTTTTTCAGTGGAACAAATTTTTAATATAGTCATGATCCAGATAGGGGTTTGGGCAAACATTTAATGGTCGACGCTGATTCCGGACGTTCAAGATTTTGTGCGAAGTCCTTAGTCCATCATTCTTGGCGTGTGTTGATAGTGAATTTATGGTGTTATGCATTGTCTTGTTGTTGTGTTTTAGGAGGTTTGGTCAATCCGGATTCCGCTGCTGTTCTGATGCATTCCATTGGTACTGTGTTTGCATTAGATCAGTATTTGCTTTCGATTTTGTTCTGATTACTTATAGATGCTTGGTTTGTATTGGTGATAATATCAGTTGGGTTGTGGATTGGTGAAGGGTTGGGTTGTAGATTGGTGAACTTATGGTGTTATGCTGTTGTGTTTTAGCATGTTTGGTGAATATGGTTTCCACTGTTGTTCTGATGTATCCCATTGGTGCTGTGTTTGAGTTAGATCAGCATTTGGCTTCTATTTTGTTCTAATTACTATTAGTTGATTGGTCTGTATTGGTATTAGTATGAGTTGGTTTGTGGATTCGGGTATGTCTTGTATGATGTAATAGCTTTACTTGTATAAGATCCTTTCCACCTCAAGGTATACTTTTTTTCTTCTATTTAGGGTTAGGGAGGTTTTTTTTAATGAGGTCCTTTAGGTGGTGAACTTTGTAATTGGTTATAATACAAAGTACCATCTTTAAAAAAAAATCAATGGTAATTGTATGATTCGAATTAAAATTAGAGTTAAAATAATAATAAAATTACTCCTTTGGAATCATAGTCGACATACTCCACTCCTTGTTGTAAAAAGTGAAACAAACATCAGTAATTATATTATTATTTTAACTCTAAATTTAATTCGAATCATAAAATTACCATTAAATTTATTTTAATTTATTAAAATTAGGCTCAAATTAATAGAATATATAAGTAAAAGTGATCAAATGTGTAATTATACCAACTTATTAACTACCATGTCAGCAATTCCGTTAAATGTTAACGACAAGTGGCTTGATTGAATGCACTTAAATAGTTAGTTACCTGATTGACAAAAATTTAAAAATAGTGGTCAAAATGAAAAGGAACTATAGTTAGGTGGTCACTGATACAATTTACCCAAAAAAGATCATATAAAATAATATAATTAATAATTTGTTTTAAATAATGTAACTTTCAATTTTTAATTAATTTTTAATTATATTCTTTAGAATTTTAAATTTTTATAAATTAAATTAATGGTTCTCATCGTTAGTGGTGTTCAACAGTACTCATCGAGTGTGGTAGACTCATCATTTATTTTATCATTTAGATTAATCAATAGTTTCTCGTATTAAATATTAATAATATTGAATAATTTGCAAAATCTCTTTTGACAATTGATAATACATATAATTTATTGTATATAAGTAAATGTTTGAACTCAAATCTCTTTTAGAATAATAATAATTTTTTAATACAAAAGATATTCAAATGTATTAGATGTTAGAATATATATATACATATATATATATATATATATATATATATATATGTTAGAAATTAAGATGTATGATATGTGGTAATTTCAATATTCAAACATCCGTTACTTTTGTAATAAACAATAAATAAAATTGAAGATGATGTGGGGGAGGGAAACTATAGTTAATGAATGCGACTTTTCTTTCATTGAGAGTCTCCTCTTATATTAATTCGACACCTTTTCTCAGTTGCTACTTCACTTCCTAGGCCTCCACCCCTCTCTCTCTCTCTCTCTCGCAGTTCTTTTTTTTTTCTTACCAAAGCATTTAAAAGAGCACTGTTGAGAAACCAGACTCCTAGTCATTTGCTGACAACATCTCACCTAGGACTCAGCGAAGGTTGCTGTTTTAGGAAAGTTTTCTTCCTCATTGCGATTTGGTCTGGTCTACAAATGGGGCGACACTCTTGTTGTTACAAACAGAAGCTAAGGAAAGGTCTTTGGTCTCCGGAAGAAGACGAGAAGCTCTTAAGGCATATCACCAAATACGGCCATGGCTGCTGGAGCTCTGTCCCTAAACAAGCTGGTAACTTTTTTTTTCCGAACATCATCCTTAATTTACCCATTTTTTCATGTCGATTTCTTCTTTAAATCATTAACTTCCCCGAATTATTGACGAAAATTGCAGGCCTGCAGAGGTGTGGAAAGAGCTGCAGATTAAGGTGGATTAATTATTTGAGGCCTGATTTAAAGAGAGGTGCATTCTCTCAGGAAGAAGAAAATCTCATAATTGAACTTCATGCAGTTTTGGGTAACAGGTATTTTTTTTTTCCTTTTTTGGTTATTTGATTTTATAAATTATTCTGCAGGTTTATTTAACATTCTTTGCTTTGTTTTGGTTCGATTCTCAGGTGGTCCCAAATTGCTGCACAACTGCCAGGAAGAACCGACAATGAAATTAAGAATCTATGGAACTCTTGCTTGAAGAAGAAGCTTAGGCAGAGGGGCATTGATCCTACCACTCACAAACCACTCTCCGAGGTTGAAAATGGGGAGGACAATAAGAGTAAACAGCACACCAACAGTAAGGACATGGCGGCTTCAGACAATCCGAAGGCCGGAACGTCGGTTACGTTACACGGCTACCGACAGGAAACGGAAGGCTCTCCCAGCTCCAAGACAATGAACATCAGCAACAACAATGGAAACAACCACACCAACGACCAGCAGCCATCTGATTTGGAGGGGCATCTACCGGTTCAACAATTGAACTATGTGTCCAATCCCAGGCTCTCGAACCAAATTCTCTGGTTTAATCAAACTAGGCCAGCCTTCCATATCGATTCCGAATTTCCATCGGCCACGATGACCACTTTTCTCCCGTTCCTCTCTGCTCCGATGGGGTTCGAGCCTTCTGTTGTCACTGTAAATGGTTCTCACTATTGGGAAACCGGTACGGCCTCGGCCAACAACAGCAGCAGCAACAGCACCGAGCTACAAAGCAACAGTTCGTTCTACGACAACAATAGCTCGTCTTGGGGATTACCAGATTGCAGCACACCAGAGAAAGAAGCTCCTCCAAACCCAATTCATCTAATGGAAAGTCAAGCTGATGAAATCAAATGGGCCGAGTATCTTAATAACCCATTGTTAATGGCGGCTGCTTTGCAGAACCAAACTCCACAATCCATGTACAACATCGACATCAAATCCGAAACAGATTTCCTCACTAATAATTCATCAAACACCATGTGGCCTCATAATCAACAGCAAGAAGAACCTATAACAAATCCCAGTATGTGTGCTAAGGATATCCAGAGACTTACAACAGCTTATGATCCATGAAAGTGGGGGAAGTACTTGAATTGAATTAATGCAACTCTCTCACATATCAGGTGTGCATCACAGAATTTTCTTTTCTTTTTCTGGTCTTTTATTGTCGTGTATATAGGTCTGATACAAAGATTAATTATCAGCTCTGAGTATATGTGAGCAAATCACTCTTGTTTTTAGCTTCTTTTGTTGCGTTTGTGGGGTAGAATTCTGCAGAATAAGGTGTCTTTTAGTCTGCTTTGCCTCTTTGCAAATGGCCATATGTGAGGTTTGGAATGTTGGAATTCTATATGTAAACAACTGTTGATAAAAAGGCGGAAGAAGAAGGATATATATATATATATATATATGGTTCATCCATGGCCATGGGGCTCTAAGCATTCATATCTTTGATATTTGAACCACAGTTTGCTTTAAAAATTGAAAAGTGTTATTAATTCAACAGCACGTGAAAGTTATTTTGTCAGCACTTTTTTTAATTTCAGTTCCCACACTCAAAATTGCTTGTCTCTGTCTATCGTTGTTTAGAGGACACAAAGAAATCGTTATCCCTTTACAAAAGCTTTATCACATTAATTTCAGACTTTTTTACTAAAATCATTTAGTTTTTTATTTAAAAAGATTAATGATAAATTTGTTCACGAGTAGAAAGAAGATTCGGCCCGGCATGATGGGCTGGGCTTTAAAATTCAATTATTTTTTAAAAAAATAATGATAAATTGATATTTGGTCAATGCCTAAATTTGTCATTATATATTATTTAATTATTATTTAGCATCATACTTTTAAATCGATGATAAGATTATTCCTATATTTTAACCCTATGTGACAGAACTTTTATTGAGTACATTACAAATCAAAGCAATAAACAAGTTCAAATTCAAAGAAAAATTGGAGAGAAATCAATCATGCAGTGATTGGACAGCAGCCACTTGCCGAAATGTAATTGGCTTGGACACATTCAGCTCGGTGTTTGGTATGATTTTTAGAGGTCGGAATAATACATTTCTTTTGTTTGGTATTTCAGTTGATTGAATCATAGACCTCTTGTCAAGCACAGTCCCATCTTTTATGATGTTAAAAATAAATAAAGCATGCTAAGGCCCAAGGCCAATGCCGAATGCCGTTCTCTGGCTATTCATTCAATCAGAGATTCATACAAAATAAAGTGATAGAGAAGGAGCTAACACTGATTCCATTGGTGAGCATATGTATCCGGGGGGAAAGGAAATTAAAACTCGAATCAGATTGTTATTCTACTGTCCATGTTTTAACTTCCCAAGGTGAAATTTCAATAGAGGTCTCAAGAATCTACCACATTTTAATTAGGACTGATTGTCGGCTTGGCTCAATTGTCTAGCGGGCCTTTGGATGGGTATGATGTGGTTTTGTATATGAATCCAATTACACATTCATATGGGCTTAAGCATACAAGACCGTCGTTTTACCCTCGCCATTACCAACAAAGTTGGCTTCAAATCAAAGCCTAAAAAATATAATAAAATAACATAAAAGAAAGGAGACTGGTCAAGGATCAACGGCCGGTGAGTGGCCGTGTTAACCAGATTATTATTATTTATCCAAAAAATATATATTTTAAGGTAAAAAACTAAAATGGTTGGATAAAAGAAACAATTAAATTTTAAACCAAAATTTTAAACATAAAAAGGAAAATCAACAGCTTCGTGCTAATTGTAGCGTTGGGTACATGTTGGCGAGGCCACGTGCCAAGATATGGACCTTCACCCATTTTGGAGTCATGATGGGCCCACCTGATTCTTGGAAAACCCGAAAATCCGCCTTTGGTCCAATAAGAAGGGGTTGTCGTTTTGAAGATAATAACGACATAAAACGCGGACAGCTGGCTCCGTAGACGTGGCTAGATTGTATCAAAATCAAACACAATTATGGCGTGCCTAATGCCTGCCAAACACCCCCACAATTAAGCTTATCCGTTACTCGAAATTGCCCCTTTGTTTTGTCCTTGTCGGCGAGCTTTCGTGGTCAGTCTTTGGATCTTCTTTGAGGGTAATATTTGGATTTTACATGCGGATACGTTTGAATTAACCCATTTTTAAAAAATTAGCGTCGGCTTACTCCCAAACTATATCGAATTCAACTTATAATGCAAGGTAATAATTTTTAAAGGCTAATATGTCCCTATATAAAATACTATACAGCTAGGGAGGAAGAACGGAGAAAACAATGATTGAATCATCTAGGGATAGGTTCATTTTGGCAAGAAAGTTGGCTGCAACATTTGTTTCTCTGTAGATTTTCTAAAAATCGACGTACCAGACCTTGGAGTAAAAAACAACAATCGCTCGTACTAGAGCAAAAGGACTTGAGCTGACGGAGGGATAATAAGCGGTGGGCATCTTCATTATCAGTGTGCACGATCAGACGTTCGAAGCCATGTTCCCAAGCTAGCTTTAGCCCTTCATAAATTCACCAAAGCTCAGCTTTGAAAACTGATGAGTTACCAATTTGCTTGTTGAAAGCTAGGAGGGTTGTACTTGAGGAATCACAAAACAAGCCCCCCACAGATCCACAATTATTCAGGATTGAGACGACAACATCTGTATTTAAACAAATCCAACCATGTCTGGGTGGCTACCATTGGACGTTGAGATTTGTTGTAGGCAGAGCTGGGATCAAAGTGCCTCGTAAAGCTTGATTGTTGAGATAGTGTCGACTCCATTTGGTACTGATCCGCATAATGGTATTGGAATCAATATGTTGTCCTTGAAAAACATAAGAGTTTTAAGCTTTCCAAAGCTGCCACACAGTGGTTGAGAATATTATATTCCAAGGACCATTTATTTCAACACACAAAGTGGAAGTTTGTGTAAGACCTGAGATTCTGGTGCAACCAATTCTTAAGGGAAATGTTGTAAAATTGAGTACGAGGGTATTTACTTAGCAAGCAGTTCCAAATGGTCTGAGCGACATGACATTCTCAAAGAATGTGGAGGAGAGTTTCAGCTGGTGCATGGTAGATTGAACAAGAAAGTCAATGGCTTAAACCTCGGTTACACCGATTGTAGTTCGTGAGTGCCCCCCGTCTTTCATTGCTAGCCAAAGAAAACCGCAGATTCGTTCAGGGACACTCAATTTCCATATTAAACTCCAGCAGGGGTCTTTTAAATCCCAATGGGAACTATCAAGTGACACAAAAGCACTCTTCACTAAAAATACGCCTATTGGAGTCTTCCTACCAGTAACAAAAGTCAGCTCATGAAGAAGGGCACGGTGGTTCAATGTTCTGCAGACGAGGAAAGTTGGTCGTGGGAAGCAGTAGATGGAGTTTATCCCAATCCCATGAGCCATCGGGGTTGGCCATTTCATTTACCAGTAAAGTATCATCAATAGTAGCAGTTGAGAGTGCACGGTGGTTCAATGTCGCAGAATAATGCCACCAAACCAAGTCATATTTTTAATGTTCATTTTTTCAGTTCTCAAACTTTTTATTGCTACTATAAAAGTGATAGTATCAAATGATCTCAAATTATGAAATGTCAAATTATCAAAATCAAAATTCATAGAGTGCAAGTAAGGTGTATCCAATCAATACTTAGTTAAATTAGAAAAAATATTCATACTCAATTAATGATTTTCCATGTTGTAGCAATCATCCTAAAGCTAATGTTGGAGATTCCAACTTATTCAATTTCCTAAAACTATGTTGGAGCATTCCAACTTATTTCCTAAAATGTTGGAACCATTACCAACTTTTCCAACTTATTCAATATATACTTTTTTTCTTTCTTTGTTTTTTCTCTCTTTTTTTTATATGATTGCTATAGCATCTAATAAAGATATGGGATTTAAAGTTAAAAAATTTCTATTTTTTCTAAGTATTGAGAACATACACCTATTGTGTAAAAGGGTTTCTAGGGATCCTAATCTTAACAAGTATCTAAAACATTCCCGTGACACTTCACAACTAATTTTTCATCACCGAGCATCATAAAAAAATCATTAAAAAAATTTCATTAATATAGCAGCATTATACATACAACATTATATATGCAATATCCTAAATGCTCTAAACAATATGAATAACAATACACACATCAAAGAAACAAATATAATATGATAAATGCAAATATGAACAACATAAATGAATGACAGTATGACACAATATAAACAACAAAGATGGACAAAACACCCCAAACCTAAGATGTGCATTGTCCTCAATGCATGTAACAAGAAAATAATAGAAATTTGAATAAAAGTAAATGTGAGAAGGGAAGTAATACTCCCCTAGCGAGTATTTCTTGGGCCTAGAAAAGTTGGGTGAGTCTGTTTTACTGATGTCTTATCTTTCGGTTGCATTTTGTTTTTCTAGCTGGCAGATGATGCTATAACAATGATTGTTTGTAACTCTAGTTGATGTTGTTAAGTAAAGATAACATTGTGATGGATGATGGTGCGATGATCAATGTGGAAGCACGACTTAAAATGAGAAGAAAAATAAAACTAATAAAATAACAAAATGAAATAAATAAAATAAAATAAAATAAAAAATTAAACTAATCGGGCTTGAGTTCATAAAACCAAATTGAGGTAATGTGTTTGGGTATATTTCCACCATAGTGTTTCATCATGTGCTCATTAAACATGCTCCAACATTCATCTAAGTGTGTGTGTTTTGTTCTTTCGATGAAGCCAACAACATAACATTCAACATTGTCATTGCATTGCAAAATATTAAATGTAATATGCTGGTCATTTAGCCACATTGTGAGTTCCCCCTTATGGACTTCAATCAATGTTTGTGCTATAATAAGGAAATGCCTGCCTAGTATTATTGGCACATCCTTGTCAGCTACACAGTCCAATACAATAAAGTCTGCTGGAAAATGAATTTGTCCACTTGTACAAGTACATTGTCTATTTTTCCAAGATGGCCAATGGATTGGTAAACAAATTGTAATGTAATAGTTGTGCGTATTGCTTCAATCCCAAATTTTCTGAAAATAGACAAAGACATTAGATTAATGCTGGAAGCCAAATCACACAATGTTGTAGCAATGAATTGATTGCCAATAATGTAAGAAATAGTAAATCTCCCTGGATCTTTCAACTTCGGTGGTAATATTATCTTGACCATGACGCTACACCCTTCAGTGAGTGCAACGGTTTTGAACTCGCCAACGCTATATTTCTTTGAGAGCATTTTTTTATGAATTTGGAATAGTTTGATATTTGTTCTAATACATGGATCAGTTGGATGTTGATCCTTAATTCCTTTAGTGCATTAAGAGACTACTTGAATTGTTGGTCCTCCTTGGTCTTTTAGAATCTTTAGGGAAATGAAGGTGGTG